TCATTTAAGTGGATCATACAATATTTGTCACTTTGTATCTGGCTTATTTCACTTAGCATAATGTTTGCAAGGTTCATCCATGTTAGTAGCATGTGTCAGACCTCCATCATATGTATGCACCACATTTTGTTTAGCCATTCATCTGTTGATGGACACTGGTTGTCTCCATCTTCTGGCTATCGTGAGTAATGCTTCAATAAACATTTGCATATAAGTAGCTGTTCAAATCCCTGCTTTCAATTTTTCGAGGTGTATGTCTAAGAATGTAAGGATGGGATCATATGGTAATTCTATGTTTAGCTTTGTGAGGACTATTATTACTTTTAGAAAAGTATGTGATTATGAGTTACTGCACTAATTGTTCTACATGCATTATTACATCTAGTTCTAGCAAATTTGTTCATTCTTACTTAGTCATTTATTTAGCAAATATTTTTAAGGGCCTACTATATGCCAGGCACTGTTCTAGACACTAGGGATTCTCTAGAGAGCAAAACTAATGAAGTCCCACCCTCTGATAGATCTTACATAATGGTAGATAATAGTAGTGATGGCAGATAATAAGCAAATATGTATTACTCTAATGCTGGGTGGAATAAATGTCATTGAGACAATGAAAAAAAAATTCAGAGTGAGGAGGAAGAATATTGCAGGGGCAGCAGTAGGTTGGGGGATGCTATTTTAGATGGAATGGAAAGAAAGGTCTCTGAAATGTTGACATTTGAGCAGAAACCTGAAAGAATGGAGAGAAAGTCATCCAGAGATCTGGGGAGATCATTCTGGGGAGCAGCAAAAACAAACGCAGAGGCTCTGCAGGCCGGTCCAGGTTTGGTGAGATCAAGGAACGCAGTTAGCCTGGCTGCAGGGAGTGGCAGCTGAGAGGAGGGGAAAGTTGGTTTGTTTTTTTTTTTTTTATTGAGATGGGAAGCCGTTGGAGAGTTTGAGCAGGAGATAGACACAGTTGATTATTCTGCCTATTTCTAAGTAAAGCAGCTGAGACTTAGAGGGTTTAAGTGATTTTACCAAGGTAGCTGGTGAATAACAAGGTTTGCCCGGGTAGATTCACTCCGGAGCACATGCTCTTCCCCACCAGGCTGGGCGTGTGCCTAGCCCTGACGATGTTCCTTGCGGGCTGTTGTTGCTTTATGGAAATGTCCTAAAGGAGGCTTGGACCTGTACCACTGGGATTGGCCCGTCGCTGTGCATAGGCCGGGCGTACTAAGTGCACTTGTTTGCAGCCCCTAAGGCAGTGGTTCTCAACCTTCCTAATGCCATGACCCCTTAATACAGTTCCTCATGTTGTGGTCACCCCCAACCATAAAATTATTTTCGTTGCTACTCTATAACTGTAATTTTGCTACTGTTTTGAATTGTAATGTAAATATCTTTTTGTTTTCCGATGGTCATAGGCGACCCCTGTGAGAGGGCCCTTTGACTCCCAAAGGGGTCGCGACCCACAGATTGAGAACCGCTGCCCTAAGGACTCTTGGTTCTCTCCCTTAGGCATGATGCAGTCGCCCGGATTTGATGGGAACAGCTGCCTCAGCCTGCACATGCTCATGAACGCAGACAGCCTGTACACGGCTGCGCACTGCGCTCTTCTCCTCAACCTGAAGCTCTCCCATGGCGATTACTATCGGAAACGGCCCGCCCTGGCCCCTGGCATGCTGGTGAGTGTGCGCTTTGCACTTGGACCCCTGAGCACAAGCGGTGGCCTCTGGGCTGGGAAGCTGAGTGTCTGTGCCCTGAGGGATGAGTGTGTTCTGTTCCACACTGCTCTGGAATGGGCAATGCCTGTGGGGCTGTGGTGAGTGGAAGGAGAGGCGATGTGATTGGCACAGCGTTATGAGCCACAGAGTCATCCAGCTTGCTCCACAGAGTGCAGGAACCCCAAGTGCCTGGAAGTGGCAGCCTGACGGCCCAGTAATTTCACATGTGTAAGATACCATCAAAAACACGTGATCAGCAGGTCAAGTAACATCGGATGATGTGCACCGGACTGGTCCCCTTTGGTGAAAACGAAGGCATTTTTTAAAAAATAATTGGGGAATTGGGGGAGGAGAACAGTGTTGGGGAATTGGGGAGGGGGACCAGCCAAGTTGTTGTTTCTCAATTTTAGTTGTGGAGGGCGCCAGTCGTCATCTGGCTTCCCATTGGCAGCTTGTGGCCTCTAAGCTCAAGGTGCTGTGTTACAATCTTAGTTGTGGGTGGTCATAGCCACCATCCCATGCAGGAGTCAAACCAGCAGCCTTGTTGTTAAGAGCACATGCTCTATCCACTGAGCCATCCAGACAGCAGCCCAGCTCAAGGTGCAGAGTTCAGTCTTAGTTGTGGGCCGGGGTAGCCCACCATTGAACAGGCAGTCTTGTTATTAGGAGCAGTGCTCTCACCAACTGAACCATCCTGCCACCTGTTGGCAGCTCAGTGGCATCTCAGCTCAGATGTGGGAATCAAACTGGTGGCCCTGTTGCTCAGAGCTCACGCTCTTAAGCTAACTCTTAACCAAGTGAGCCACTCAGCCAGCCCTGAAGGCATCTTTTACAAAACCTCTTGATTATCTTCCAAAATCTTCCTAGACCTACTCGTGACCCAGAGCTAAGCTTACTCATTTGTCAATACTGAAGCACCTCCGGGGAAGTGTGGGATGAGTGTTGGTGCGTATCCTGTGGTCGGCTCCCCTGCCTGATCAAGCCACTCCACAGTATACCATCATGTCAGTCTGTGAGCTGCGTGGAGGGAATCAGCAACCCTTTGTTTGCTTGGTAAAGTGTAAATTCCCAAGTGTCAGTGGTGGCCTCATGAGTGTAATCATGTATCTCTTGAAACATGTTCTTTCCGGGAGTGGATTCCATCTCTGCAGCTGCTAGGCAGTGAGGTGCCCTGTTCAATATTTCTGTATAGTTTCTAATCCTCCCACATACCAAAGAGTAAAAATATAAAATGCAGTATCCCTAATCCTTCAACAGGGTTCTTAAAAAGATACCACAAATGAAAGGAGCTTTGAGAAGTTTCCCCTTCTCTTGCCAGCCCCTTTCCTCCCATCAACAACGTTTCGCTTTTCCTATAAGCCTGTGCGAAGGGAAGAGGCAGCGGAGGAGTGTAGGAGCCTGCATGTTTGCAGGGATTCAGAAATTGGTCACCTTGTCATGTGATCTTCTCTGTAGAAAGAGTTCATGAAGCAGGTGCAGACCAGTGGGGTGCTGATGGTGTTCTCCCAGGCCTGGATCGAGGAACTCTACCATCAGGTGCTTGACAGAAACATGCTCGGAGAAACTGGCTACTGGGGCAGCCCCGAGGACAACAGCCTCCCCCTTATCACCATGCTGACAGGTCAGTAGCTCCTTACATGGCTCCGTGGCACTTGTTGGGGTGGGAGGGCTCACACTTCAAATCCCCTTTTGGTGAAGCAACGGTGTTTGAAGCAGACCATGAAATGGCACCCACAGTGCTTCCCTGGCAGTTGGTGACACTTTGAGAAAAGTGTCATGAATTCACTTTGCAGGCATTTTCTGTCCTTTTTCCACATGGGACCCTGCAGAGCTCATGGCGCCCCATTAGATTAGGAATTACTTAGCACCTGTGTCTGTTGGTGGAAAACTATAGGCCTCTCCTGGGAGATTAAGTACTTTCTGGGCACAAAGCCCAGAATTATTCCTAGAAGCTCTCATGTACTAATAGATAACTATTATCTGCATTATGCGATCTGGGAATTTGCCAGTAATGTAAAATGATTGGTTTTAAACTTGGCTCCGTTCCCATTTCTTGTCCATATCAGAGGTCTTCCCTTCCCTTCTCAGCTATGCCAGATTTAAAAACAATGCCCAATAGCTGTCCAGCATCTTTGTTTTCCATGTCCAGAGTTTTAAAAATCCTCTTTCACTGTTAGAAATTTCACATGAGCGCACAGAGAGCATTATGGGATGTGGTCAGGAAGAAATTTTTGTTGTTGTTGTTATCAAAAGCACCATTTGTGGCTTTGCATGGCTTAACTGTGATGTCAGGTAAAGATCAGGGAGTGCTCCAAAGTTTCGTCTGGTCAGCAGCAGCCTTAATAAATTAGATCTCCAGGCTCACCTTGTACTTGATCTGAGTGATCCTCTCATGGTTCCAGCTGACAGAATATGTACAGCATGGTCCTACATCGGATGCCTCCCCTGCCCTCCCTGTAGTGCCACATGTCCTCACACAGCTAAACATGCATCTGTACCGGGCAAGGCACACTGGTAGGAACAGGACTGGGTTGGGCAGGACAGTCCAGCTAGGAGGCAGGATCTGTTGTCCAAAGGGTGTGTTATGTTGCCTGTGGTTGGTATTGGATGCTCTGCCCACAGTGGCAGAGTGGACTACTGGCAGTTGGAACTCAACAATGAGGCATGTGGGTAAGGTGTTATTTAGGAGTCAGGCAGGGAGTGAAGACACACAGTGAGGTCTTTCCACAGCAGGCAGAGCCCTGGTCATTGTCTGGCATTTGGAGTCTGTATTCTAGAACTAGGATGGAATTTGGGGGAAGCAAGGCTCGGTTCCTAAACCTCAGGGATCAGGATCATTGGATAAGAGACCAATTCGTATTTTATTAATTGTGATAACATTTACATCCATTTGAAAAGTGGGAATTCATCAATGTGTGAGACATTTATTCAGTCTATTTATAAGCAGTGCTTGGTTTCCATCTGTCTTCATGAACTCCCTTCAGGGTTTGAAGGTGCTGCCCAAAGCTTAGAAGTTTCTTGGAATTTGAGTGAGGATCCTAAACATGCCAAGTTTAATTTCCAAATACCATAGTTTCTGCCAAAATTAATCTCTTAACCTAAACCTTAATAAAAGGAGTCATTCAGCAGATGTAAAAATGAACAAATAACAAGCTATTCACAGTATCCATATTCATCAGTCATCACTGTTAATCAGCCAATTAATAGAACAGTAACTCATTGCTACGTCCATAGGAAAGCTATCCAACTTTAGATTAATGAGAGAAAAACAGGCTTTTCATAAGAATTCAACAAAATTAAGCTCTCTGATTAATTTTTGTAGCAAATTTAAGGTATGAAGTGACAAGAGAATTTGAGCAGTAATTAACCTAGAGCTTGGAAACTTTCATCTGATCTTTTCATTATGTGCCAGGAAAAGCTATAGCAGCAATCTGATCATCAGCACTATATTAACCATGGCCTTTCCTGATGTCATGTCAAGGTGTTCTATAGAATAGTGCAATCTTAGTGCTTACATAAGTTTTGTGTTACTTGAATTCATCAGTCCTTTACCTACACGTTGGCAACATTATAACTTTGATAAATGGCAATTTCTGATGAAAGTCATTAGACCATTTGACTATCGTCAAATTAATTTCAGTGATACTGGTCTGTTCTCACTTTAGTAGCCATATAGATTTCTCCTCGCTTTTTTCCTCTGGTTTTATTGAGCTATAATTGACATATGACATGTATTCACCCAAGCTGTATAACATAATGATTCAATACATGTATATATTGCAAAATGATCACCACAATAATTTTAGTGAACATTAATCAACTCACATAGTTACAACTGTTTCTTTCTTGTGATGAGAACTTTTAAGATCTACCATGTTAGCAACTTTCAAAGAAATGTGTTGCCAGAAGTCTCTAGGATTCTTGGAGTTGCTATATGAATAAACAGTACAATGAAATAATTTTCAAAAACCATGCAAAGAAGTCTCATCCTATTGGAGTGAAACTCTAAAGTCAAGGAATAAACTTATGCTACCCTCTGTCCCCATTCCCTCTCTGTGATGCATTGAGCTATGTTATTTGCATTCAAGTTCATATGCTTGAACTCCGTGGTCACGTCTCCAATGGTTACTTCCTTTATACTGAGGAATTTGGGGCCCAGAGGATGGAGTACCTCACTCAAGGCTATACGAGGGTACAGAATTCAGAGCCAAGGTTGAAGCCCAGTATTCTCAACCCCGAGCCAGCATGTTAGGGAGTGGTCTGTTGAGCTAATTTTGTACATGAGAGTTTGTTTGAACAAAAATTTAAACAAGGTAAATTCAGATCCCATACTGAGCTAGTTCGGTGTCATGGAAAGAGACTTCGGTGGGAATCAGAAGACATGACTATTGAGTCTAATTCCTTCTTTTACCAGCTTGATGGCTTTGGACAATTTAACTACTTTGAGTATTTATTTCCTCCTCTGTGAAGTAGGAATAATAATTCCTACTCTATCTACTTGGAGTTGTTGGGAAGATTTAATAAAAAAATAAATGTTACGTAAAAGCACTCTGAAAATTGTAAAGTATTATTATGAAGGTATTATTATTGTACTTTGGAACCAGGTTATATGATTATCTTACCAAAGAGGCTTATTCTCTTCTTAATTCTTATGAGGAAGCTCTGAAAGACAAATCCATGTTAAGGTATCTTGTACATATAAAATTTGGGAATAATGCCACTATTTTGAATAAAAGGAGTATTCAAAGATCATAATATTCTAAAACAATAGATTTTCTAACAACAGAGATAGTAGAGTTTATCTTTATTTTTTCAAATAAAAAATATATAGCCTAACAGAAGAATGCTCTAGCAAGGAAAAGAAAAATAAAACTGGGCTCAATGAATAAAACAAAAATTTTAATATTCTGATAAAAGGTTGCTACATACTTGTTACAATGGATATTTGTTGGGGGAAAAAAATGAACATTGTGGTGGCCGTTTGTTTTGGGTGGGACTGTTCTCATCAAGGAAAACCTTGCTCTTTTTTTTTCTTAACAGATATCGATGGCTTGGAGAGCAGTGCAATTGGGGGCCAGCTAATGGCCTCCGCTTCTACAGAGTCTCCTTTCACCCAGGGGAGGAGAATCGATGACTCCACAGTGGCAGGTAAGAGTCTTGCGCTTATGAATATGCATGCACTGCATATGGTACTAGCAGTTAAACCATTATGGAAGTTTTCGGTGCTGACATAAATGAATTAAGGTTTTGCCTTTGCAGAAGAAGTGCCTGATGGAAGTGACTGAGCATCCGCCAGCTGATGATGCAACCTTCATTATTTATAAAGCACAAAGTGAAATCCATTAAATTATATTTCCCATGCTAGAATTGCATACAACTCAATGTTGCTAATTTGATGGTCAAAGAATCCCATGCCATTCATTGCCAGGTTGTTTCTGTCTCCGGAAAGTAACCCAGGCTCCTTCACATTCTAGGTGTGGCATTTGCTCGCTATATTCTGGTTGGCTGCTGGAAGAACCTGATCGATACTTTATCAACCCCCCTGACTGGCCGAATGGCGGGGAGCTCCAAAGGGCTGGCCTTCATTCTAGGAGCTGAAGGCATCAAAGAGCAGAACCAAAAAGAACGGGATGCCATCTGCATGAGCCTCGATGGGCTGCGCAAAGCAGCACGGCTGAGCTGTGCTCTAGGTACTGGCAGGAGGAGGATTTATGACTTGTGGCCTGAGGGATGTTCCCACGAAACACATCGAGAATGGCCCTCTTGGGAAGTGTTTTAGAAGGGGCTCTTCCCAGTGGATGGTTAGAGACCGAAGGGGTAACTGTTTGTTTCCTCTAAAGGAGTCGCGGCTAACTGCGCCTCGGCCCTTGCCCAAATGGCCGCTGCCTCCTGTGTCCAGGAAGAGAAAGAGGACAAGGAAGTCCAAGAGCCCAGCGATGCCATAGCACAAGGTAACAGCCGAAGGGCCAGACTCCACCTGGGGTCTTATGTGCAGTGTGCACAGACCTGTGCACACCTGCACAAGCAAGCACAGACACTCGTCTCCATGCCATGTGCGATGCATGGCATATGTTTACCACTGATTGTGAGGTCTTGGGACTGTTTTACATAGAACGCCAGAGATCCACCTGGCTGAGCTAGTCACACCTCTGTCATCATGTCCCCCTGGGTTTGGCACATCCCAGAGTACACATTTGAGGACCCTTCATACTGAGGAGAGCAGAACAGCCAGTTTTCTGAAAGGGAAAATGAAACAGATGGAGGAAATCATTGAGAGGAGGCTCACGGAGACGTCGCTCTTGTCAGAGAAAAACCTGACTTCCGTGATCTCAGGAAAGAGTTAAGTTTTTAACTTGCTAAAATCAGTTAGTCAATGAAGCGGATGATTAAGTATAAAGAAAGAGAGTGGCCTTCCTAATAACAATGGAGGGTAAATGGTAAGCAAAAAACAGAAGGAAAAATGGGACGCTTGGTCCGATTTATACCAATACTATGTATCAGGTAGACAAGATAGCTAGCTGACCATTGGCACATTTTTAAAAAACTAAGAAAAACAGGCTCAGCCACTATTCCTGAAACTTGAGTAATATATACAGAGACCCATTGGGAAGCTGAGCAGCAGTCACAGGTCGCAGTGCCAATTGAAAAAAGGCTATCGCAATTTAACTTAATATGTACAACCATAAATTATATAAAAATCCTTACATTCAAACTTCTCTTAAAACTATAAAACCAAAACTAGTATTCAAATTATGTACAAATAAAAAGAAATCAATATCACATCCATGAGACACATGGTAATTTGCCAAAAGTCAATTTGCCCTTTACAGCAGGAATACAGTTCAGCTTCTTCTGAAGTGAGTGTGCCATCCTTCGCATCACTCAGTTGTCCCGCCAGACCCACCTCCCAATTACTTGACACCTTTTTTGCAGAGGATGTTGTCATTTGGCCTTGCCTTGGCGTTTTTGCATACTTGACATCTTAAGTCACCTTCTACATTCTTTCTCATTGGTCATCTATAATAAAAAAATTATTTGAAGATCACAGACATAAAGTTAAACACAGGGAGTGACATGATATGGTAATTTTCAGTTATAAAGCAGTCATCATGGCACTCAGAGTGTAATGCATATGTTGTTTTAGGTGATCAGCATCCTGAATGCATAACATTAAATAAATCTCAGAGAGAACTTGCGGAACATCAGGCATTCTTCCATCTTATCATTTTGAGTGTACAAGGATAGGGGAGGGTCTGGGCACAGATTGCTTTAGTTGGCATCAGCACATGAAGCCCATCCCCACTGCACTGCCTGACTCAGGGGTGGGCCTGGAGGAACTGCACCCACCAGCTCAGGTCCCATCCAACTTCTGAAGCCACAAGCTGGAGTAACCATTGTCAGGGGTCTGTGGACTGGGGAGTTTGCACGATGGACCACAGGGACTTGCCATTGAGGAACTTGTTGCCAGTGATGTCTGCTGTTCCCTTTTCCCTTGCATGACAGCACTTTTTTCCCTTTCCTTCTTTTTTCTCCCTCTCCTTCTGTCTCCCTCACTTAGACTGTTATTTTAATGACTGTCTTTCTGGAACAGTGAAACTAAAAGTGGAGCAGAAACTGGAGCAGATCGGGAAGCTGCAGGGGGTGTGGCTGCACACAGCCCACGTCTTGTGCATGGACGCCATTCTCAGTGTAGGCCTGGAGATGGGGAGCCACAACCCGGACTGCTGGCCCCACGTGTTCAGGTGCATGACGGGATCCCCACCCCCATATAGCACCCACCCTACCATGGGAGCCTAGGGGTGGTGGAAGGGGTAGTTTCCAGGGTTTGCCAGCACTTAAATAGATGATGATAATTCACAGAGTTTGGATGAACCCAAAATGAGAGATTAAAAAGAGAAAAAGGAATAGGGGCCCAACTGAACGTATGTTTTAGAGAACAGAGTGACAGAATTTGATTTAGGGAATTATGAATAGATTATTGACATTATCTATGAGAGACAGATGTATTACTCAAAGGAAGAAAAACCAGTTTCTTAAATAGTGGCTGGTGAAACCATGTGAGTTAAGTGAATACTACGCAGATCTGAAGTCTTATCATGTCAGCATATAACACTGCTGTATGCTCGTTAATGCCTTCTTCATTTAAAGAAGGATTTTGGATAGCTTATGTGGACACATAAAGTACGAGATGCCTACTTTTACTTTAGACAAAGGAAAATAGAATAGTCATTGTGCCAGAGACATACCAAAATTTAGCTCTAAGTTTTTATAGCATCAAAGTGAAAAGAACCCCCCAGTCAGTTACACAGTTCACAGCACCTGTAAAATGAAAACAGCGAGAGCTCTGCCGTCCTCTAACGACTAAGATGAAAAGCACGCCTCCACAGGCATCAGCGTTCAGGCAGACCTGGGACAGTGGGAGGGGCCCTGCCTACCCAGGGCAGGCACATCGAGTGCTGGACTATTTCTTAACCTCTCCTCAGCACAGGCCGCCGGCCGCCTCTCCCCGAGCTCAGCCCCCGCTGAGCAGCGGGGGAGCAGTCAGGAGCGGGATGATGCCCCCACAGCAGGTCTCAGGCACCCGGAGCTCACGCAGGGCACTGGCCATGTCTGGGTTCAGTTCAATGTCCTAAAAGCCAATACAGCAATTCGTTTGTCAACTTTCAAAGAGAGAAGCATTCAGATCATTCGAGGGTTGAAAGGCCATCTTGAGAGGAACATGAAAAGCAGCCAGGATGAGAAAGCCTGGAGCACAGTGCCGGCTGGTACCCTCTTCATTGTTCTCACAAGCAAACGAGGGAGAAAGAAAATGACCTAAAACGAATCCAACAAATTTATATGGAAGCAATCAATTGTCTGATTGTAGAACATCAGAGTGGGTTATCCAGAACAGTCTCTACTAGTAACTGGACTTATTCTGGGATGAGGGGCCTCTTATGAACCACCTTGTCCCGGGTTCTATTGGGAAGAAACAGTGGAAGTTGGCAGTTGTACCACACGTTGTGAGTCTTCTCTGTTTACCAAGCGGGACATGGCTGGACAGAACCTCTAAGCGAGGGCCCATTGTAGCCACAGGGCCTGTCAGCCATATGTCACTCATTCTAGGGTCCCAAAGTAAGGAACTATGTCCTTAGTCCTAATCAGAGTACCAGAGAGAGGGGAAGAGGGCCCCTTGGGAAAACACACTCAAACAGCCAAAGTCCAGAAATCCAGAAAGCTGGACAAGGCAGAACTGATGAACAGAGCTTTGTTACCCACCTTTCTCCCATACAGGGTAGGAGAATTTGAGGAATCCTTACCTCACTTCCAGAATGTCTGATCCTCTCAAAAATATAGTCGGGGGTGTGGGGGGAAGAGGTGGAGAGATGGGGAGAGAGAGAAAGTGCTATCATCAGAGGAAGGAGAAAAATTTGGGAGGACTATCACATGATGAATTTCCTTTCTATGTTACAGTGGGATTTACAGAGCTGGTGTGGCTGAGTGACCGCTTTTAATGGCCGCTTGTCTGTGACTCTCTCTAGGGTATGTGAATACGTGGGCACGTTGGAGCACACGCACTTCAGCGACGGCACCTCTCAGCCCCCCTTGACCATCAGCCAGCCCCAGAAGGCATCCGGAGGCTCTGGGCTTCTTGGGGACCTGGAGTGTGAGGGCTCGCCCCAGGAGCAGAGACTGGAGCAGGAGAGCTCCCTGAGCACAGCCCCAGTCATCCAGCCCCTCTCCATCCAAGAGCTGGTCAGGGAAGGTAGCCGAGGCCGGGCCTCCGACTTCCGCGGCGGCAGCCTCATGACGGGGAGCAGTGCCGCCAAGGCTGTGCTCACACTCTCCACCCTGGCCGACAGGTGTGTGCCCACCCATCCTCACCACACCCCGGAAGGGCTGCTCACCACGGAGTGCCCGTCACCTGTTGCAACATCCCAGCCACCTCTTCTGGTCTCAGATTATGCCCAGGAAAACTTGATTTGCGAGCCAGTCATTTAAACCTCTTTTAATGATTTTCAAACATACTTCTGTCTCCTGCCACACCCCACACTTAGAATGAACTTTTGTCTAATGATTAGACTGGAGGCTCTGGCGGCAGCTGCCCTGACTCTGTGACTCCAAACAATGTCACCTCCCTGGGCCCTGATTTCTTCATTGTCAAATCGGGTCATGAAGTAGCTCTCTCACAGGGGAGCAGTGAAGTGAAATTAATCAGTACACTTGACGCACTGAGGCCAGAGGTTGGCAAATAGTACAAATTCGCTCTTTTATGATAATTAATAGTTTTAAATCCCACACCCAGGAGTGTGATATATTATTGAGTGATGCCCAACAACCATGTTAGTGTATAAGAGAGAAAAATCAATAATAACTCCAACTGTTTGGTGACACTTCTTGATGTTGAAAGTGCTTGTGTCATCAGTCACATGTCACCACCTCACTTCACCCTCCACACTTGGTCATTGTGTCCCAAGCTACCCAGCACAGGCACAGGGAAGTTTATATGGAGAGGACAGACAGCGAAGCGGGGGAGAAGTGGGGAGCCCACTCACTGGCTGGGGCTCAGAAGACCCGGGTTCTTTCCTGGCTTTGACACCAACCAACTGCAAAGTCGTGTGTATATTAAATAGTTGCACAGAGACTCACTTTCTTCATCTCCTAACTCGCACAACATGCACATGTTCTCACTCAGTACAAGAACGTCTTTCTCCTGTTTGCCCAGCAGGGTGGCTGTGAAAGTGTTTTGGAATCTGGATTCAGGTGTCAGGTGGGATATAATATTCACCACCATTTTCTCACTAAGAAAGAGGGACAAGATATGGTTCATGGGATCCAGAAACCAAATGGTGTTAAACTCGTAATTACAAAACAGCAAGAAAAATGTGTTTGTTACAATAATTTGTGAATGATTAATTCACTGGTTCCCATCTTTTGTGTCTCATATTACCCCTTCCAAAGGGACTTGTTAATGCATTTTCTGTTAGGGGCACTCTCTCTTACCCAGCACGTGGCACTCCATGGGGCTGCTTGCCCTCCTGGTGTCACCATAGGTTTGGAGGGCAGGCATCGGATGACCCAAGCTCAGTAGGAGCACCTCACTCCTCCTGTGGTCACTTAAACCGATATTTAACCCCAACATTCCAAATTCCAGTAAGCCTGTGAGCCGCCTCTAAGCCCTGCTACCTCTGGTCACCTCCTTCTCCCTAACTTCCTCTAGAAATGTCTGTGCCCAGCTGAATCGAAAACAAAAGAACCTGCAAAGTCCATTATGTTACGGAATAGTCATTATTCCAGTAGCTACTGGAGCACCCCATGTGTTGGGCTCTGTATATGAGTTGGAGGGGATAAGAAGGCCAGTCCCCATCCTCAGGGGCTCGTGCAGGTTGGGGTGTACTCTGCTTTTGTATCTTCAGAGCCACACCTGGCATTAGATCCATCAATTGTAGCCCAACAAAAGCCTTATTTACTGGGTTTTTTGTTAATACAGCTTATGAGGTTGAAGCCAATTCTAAGGATTGCATTCCCAGTTATTCAGTTTCTGGGAGTGATGCTTTGCCATCTTCCAGCTTCTTGCTAAACATTTTATGAGTTCCTGCCCTGGTTGAGCTAGGCCCTGGGGATACAAAGAATTTTTTTTTTTTAAATGTGGCCTGTGCCCTTCAGATTAAACTCTAGGTGTTAGAGCGTACTTGTGCCCAGTAATAATATAATACACTTCTTTACAGCGTTCACACAACATTTCCATTAATCACATCTAACAGAAGTACTGTGATCATTCTGCCATAAAGACTTCGCTGAATTGTTTCTAAGTAACACATCTTTTTGTTTTGCCCAGGCTCTTTGAAGATGCTACAGATAAGTTGAACCTAATGTCTTTGGGAGGTTTCCTTTATCAACTGAAGAAAGCATCGCAGTCCCAGCTTTTCCATTCTGTTACGGACACAGTTGATTACTCTCTGGCAATGCCAGGTAATTCTTTCCCTGAAGAAACTGTGCCATGAGGTTAGCAGGAAACAGCCCAGGTCCCTGATACCACCAGCCTGTCTAAAGACTTGAACCCACATTCCCTTCACACATGGTCACCCTGGCTAAATTCAACAGCAGATGTGTCTGTCATCTAGTTTTGAGGCATAATGTGGGTGGGGGGGATGGGGGAGCAGGTAGGGGAAGGAGTGATATTCTTTGCGAATATAAATGCTGGGGCTGCCACTCTTGCAGGTATTACTGCTGGAGCTGGGTTAGGTTGTTCTGTTTTGTGCTTGTGATATAGAAATTATCTGCACTACTCAGGGTGCAGATAACTTCTCCTAAGGGTGGGAACCCTTCTCCACATCACAAAGCACAGCCCTCACCTCAGTCCAGTCAATTTGCAGAAGCAGCAACCAATTCCAAATGGGACTGCTGGGTGACAGGCTGCTTACAAATACAACTGTCCATCAGCAGCTGCGGTTGTTGTGCAGAACCAGTGCGTACCTTGTCCCGATGAGTTCAGGCAGGTGCAGAGCCACGTGCTGGGGACGCCCCATGGTGGCAGGTTGGACTGCACAAGCTCTTTAGGGATCTGAAGTTCTAAGTGTAATGTATTTGGACTTTTGATCCTTACTGCAGAGTCTAATTTGAGAATCACCATCTTTTCCCCATTAGTGTTTAATAGACTTTAAAACCTTAGCTGCATATAGCCAACCTTCCAGACTCATCACACTTACAGAGCATCTATGAGCCCAGAGGCAGCCTTCAAAGTCTTTTGCATTGGAGAAATCAGCGTACTCTGAACTTACAAAAATCAATGCATTAAGAAAATGAATAAAATGCACCTAAGCCACAAAAAAAAAAAGAAAAAAAGGAATGAGCGGGGTCCGGGAAAGGCAGTCGGGCCAGGAGGAGGCAATCGGCTTTGAAATCAGTCAGACATGAGGCAAAATGCTGCCTTCCCCACTTACCAGCTGCGCTGTCTTAGGCAAGTCAGTTTATCTTCCACCATTCAGTTTTCTAATCTGTAAAATGGCAATAATTACATTTACTTCTTAAGGCGTGCTTTAAAAATTAAAATGGTTGAAGATGCAAAGAACCAACACGATGTCTAAGGCAGAGTAAACATTCAGTCAATGTCAATGATTATTATTATGGTTATTTTGAAGCTTATTTGATATGGAATGACTAATTATAAAGCATTTGGGCTGGAAGAGCCTGACAATGACCAGCCTGTCTTAAGCAGTAAAGGAGACGCAACAGGACATGAGCAGGAAGGTGGTGGGGAAGACGAAGGTGACAGTGATAAAGAAGCAGCAAGAGATCAGAGCAAGCAAGGACTGTACTGAAGCAAAACAGAGCAGGTCATACAGCATGTTATTGGGTAGCAAAAGGGCTTGGCTGGCTTGGCAGGGGATTCAGAGGTGCCACTAAGCATTGGCAAAGCGGGTAATGGCTGTGAAGGATGGCAGAAATGACAAGTCGTGACAACAGCTAAGAGTGGGGATCAGGTAGCATGTGCCTGTGTTAAGCCATTTGTGACCATTACCACGTTTAACCTTGTAGTAACTTTAAGAAATAGGTCCTACTATCCCCATTTTCACAATGAGAATCTGTGGATTAGAGCGGTAAATCTTGGGTCCAACGTAGCCCAACTACTAAATGGCAGAGCCAGGATTTGAGCCCAAGCAGCCCGACTCCCCAGGCCTCCTATTTAACCCCTATATCATTCCATCTTATGGACAAGCATTGTTCACACTCGTCATGGCAGGCCCTGGGGATGAGGTGAGCAGGAGACCTGGGCCCAGGCCTTGCTGAGTGAAGCATTGAGCCTCTCCTGAACCCAGGCCCGTCTCCTCCCTTGGTTAGCATTCGCCAAATAACCCTGCTGGTCCAAGTACAGTTCTTTGAATTTCATCCTCTCTCTGTGCTTGAACAGGTCAAACTCTTTCTGAGTTTGGGCCTTATGGCTTCTATGGCCTTCCCTTCTTGTAGGAGAAGTTAAATCCACCCATGACCGAAAAAGTGCCCTCCACCTATTCCGCCTCGGGGATGCCATGCTGAGGATCGTGCGGAGCAAGTCGCGGCCCCTGCTCCACGTGATGCGCTGCTGGAGCCTCGTGGCCCCGCACCTGGTGGAGGTGAGCACCTGGAAAGTGGGACGCTCAGGGACCTTGTGTAGCAGAGCCAGCACAGGGTCTCTAGTCTGTGTGGGGACAAAGAGCCCTGTGGCCACAGTGCAATGAGGAGGTACCCATCACCTGATCACAAGCATCATTGTTCTCTAATTACACCTCACGGCATCTAAAGAATCACCCCCAAAGGGCAGTGCCACCCTGACCCTCTTTCTTTACAATTTGGCTCTGTGCCTTACATAGCCAGTTTTCCATTCTTTATGATCTAGTATCAACCTGAGCCTGGAGCCCCATTTTTATACATGACTATAACAATGCCTTTTGTTCCTTCCTATCTCTCTTTTCTAATAGCTAAATATACTCAGGGCAGCACCCTACAGGTAGGAGAATCATGTGTCCTGGTTTTCCCAAAAAAATTAATGCTAAGACCCCTTTCACTCTCCAAAAGAAAGCAGTTTATATGAGAAATTATATGGTAACTCTCCATCTCAGCATCTCAATTAATGATGACTGGCTCCTTCTAATTTGTTGGGGAAATTATCTCCCTGTTTTGTAGTGATTACTATCCTTAATAGCCCTTGAATGCTTATCTAGTAGAGATACATCATAAAGGATTTTTTTGGACCTTAATTCATTTTAACCCGAGCACATTCTAGTAAGAAAAGGGGTAGAAAATAATAACTTAGTTATGGAGAAATAGTATATGAGTTATCTGTTACACTACAATAAACCAGCCTCAAAACCTAGTGACTTAAAACAACAACCAGTTATTTAACTCATTGATTTCCTGGGTCAGAAATTTGAGCCGTGCTCCGCTGGGCAGTTCTGGTCTGAGCCAGACTTGGCCGATCTCACCTGGCCTTGCGTGTTACCTGTAGTCAGCTGGTGCTAAGACTGGGGCCAGCTGCTTCGTGATGGCCTTGACTGAGAAGGCTAGACAAATGGGCTCTCTCATCCTCCAGCCGACTAGCCCTGGCTCATTCACACAGCATTCTTAGAATTGCCAAGGAAAGCAAGAACAACTCCAAGTCTTAACAATTTTCCAATTTTCTGCTTGTATAACATTTGCTGTTAGCCAGAGCAAGTCAAAGGTCCAAGCCCAGGGTCAGGGTGGGAGAAGATGACTAAAGGGCATGGATGCAAGGAGCTGTGAACCAATTAAAGCTTTATCAGTGCAGCTGGCCCACCTCACTGAGGAACAAATGACTCTTCTGATCTCTATCTATTTGGGGCACAGCTAAGAATGAGACCACGGCAGTTCTGGTATCTTTAGAGTCAGCACATTCTATACTACCTGAGAAAACTGTCACATTACAGAAAAAAAAATTGCTAGAAACATTTTATTTTTTAGAAACATTAAAGTGAAATTAAAGTTGTGTTTGATCAGTTGGTTAAATTACTTAAAATGCAATTTAGTGTGCTGTACATCTATACATATCCCTTGAAATTTTTTACTTTAACAGAATTGCTGCGTCCACCTCCCTCCAACGAGGTGGGTTAGGAAAACCTTCAGAAACCAGAGTCTTACTTGCCTGAAGTCCTGATGGTATTGTACTCTCTCATTAATTTTGCAGGCTGCCTGCCATAAGGAAAGACACGTGTCTCAGAAAGCTGTTTCCTTCATCCATGATATACTGACAGAGGTTCTCACTGACTGGAATGAGCCACCACATTTTCACTTTAATGAAGCACTGTTCCGACCTTTTGAGCGCATTATGCAACTGGAGTTGTGTGATGAAGATGTCCAAGACCAGGTCAGTGTGTCACGATAATCAGCATCCTCATTATCATGGCAAGCTCTTATTGAATGCCCTGCCAGGCATTGTCCTATGACCTTTGCATATTTCATCTTTACAATAATACTATGTGGAATCTATGACACAGAAGGTTAAGCTATTTAGCTAAGAGTACTTGATCAGTGCTTGGTGGAACTTGGATTTGAGCCTAGGCAATCGGCCTGTACTCTTGTACCCAGCCTATATTCTTAACCACCATCATACCCTCCACTGGGAGGCAAATGGTAAAGAAACTCACTGGAGACTTTGTAAGTAGCATGATGGTGGTTTAGGAATACAGATCCTCTCTCTGAAATCTACTAAAAGTGTTAAAGATTTTAAAATTCCTTTTCAATATATTGACACTCTGGCAAGAATGTAAGGAATACTAAGATGCCAAACACTAAGTAACAATGGGGAGCCACAGAAGTAGGTAGAGCTCTGAGACATTTTTTTTTTTTTCTGTGAGAGAATTTGTCATCAGGTGAAGTTGAGTTCTGCTATCACATTCTTCAGGTCACAAGAACAGGAGACAAATCTCAGTATAAACTTTATAAACCTGGTGTATACTCAGGCCAAGGTTGAATTAGAAAAGAACCCAAGTACCACCCTCCCTGAGGATACTATCAGCCTGTTTCTAACTCTGGCTCTTAGTGGAGATGAAAAGTAACCCTCCAGGATTAAAACTACAAGATAGCCCTTCTGTGGGGTCAGTGGATGAAATTGTACCACCTTGGTGGTTTGAGAAACCACACAGGCACCATAGGAAGCAACAAAATTCACTCTGGAGGAACTCATTTCAACTCAGTCCACCAAAATATCCTACAAATAAAGTGCCAAGGTATGTGAGTCCGCAGTGTTTAAGAACATGTCACAAAACACAAGGAAATGAGGCAATAGTCAGAGGGAGCTACTGAAACAAGACGGCACAATCAGACCTAGAAATAATTGATTGAAATATTGGTATCTTTCATGCAAAATATCAAATAATAATTTTTAGTGAAACAAAAGAAAGGAATGAAAATGAATTAATACCTAAAGGCTAGGTTGAGGTATTCCAATAATAGTGAACTAAGTAATTAGATCAGCTTCCCACAGGGAACAACTAGAAAACATTGGATTAAAAGAAATGTTTTTGGGCCGGCCGAGTGGCGC